TAATTGTTCCTTTAAACATGAGGAAGCCAAAAGGTGAACAGGTACATACCAAAAGAGGAATCCAAAGTCCCACCATTTTTTTTTTCCTATTTTTAAAACCCCACTCACTTTAATTATTCTCTATTTTTTTTTTCAACACTCATTTTAATTCTAACTATACTTTTATCTAGGGCTGGGCAACAAACCCATCCGTCCGCACAAACCGCCCGACCTTACCCTACCCTACCCGCAGTGCTTTGGGCGGTTTCGATTTAGGTAGGCGGGCGGGTGCGGGTCAAGAAATTGGTTCGGGTCGAACCCGACCCGCCCGCAACCCGCATCTTTTTTTTTTTAAAGAAAAAATAACTAGTTATTATTATTATTTTTTGTATTTTGGATAGATGGAGATAACTAATTATTATTTTTATTTTTACATTTTGCATGAAAGTAAAATTTATTATATGGGCACTTATATACATTATCATAATCTAATGATATTTAAATTAGTGTTACTGGTTTGACTTTTATTTATATATATATAAAAAAAAATCATTATATTACATTAGTCTAGCAGACACAGTTAAATATGATATTTTGAATTGTCATTCTATTATCACATTATTGCATGTTAAAAACTAAACAGTGAAGATTAATCCACTATTAAAATTAGTGTTACTAGTTTGACTTTTAAGGATTTGTTTTTGCATATTTAAATTAGTGTTACTAGTTTGACTTTTAAGGGTTTATTTTTGCAAGCTAAGGAGGAAGATTAATTACTATCCTCAAGCATGGTTCCATATCATCTTATCTAACATGTGGACTATTTATTATGATCATGAATTGTATATCTTGTAATTTAATTTATAACTCTTCTAAAAAAAAAAAAAGTGTTTAAAAAGTAACAAAAAATGTCAAATTTGCTTAAGTTAAAAAAAAAACAAAAAACAAAAAACAAAAACAAAAACGAAAACAAAAGCAAAAACAAAAAACTAAACCGCAAACCGAACCGCACCCGCCCGCACAAACCGCGAACCGCATCGCGGGCGGTTGCGGGTCCATTTTTCCCCAACCGCATAAGTGCGGGTCGGGTCGGTTTTGACCCGCACCCGGCCAAAACCGACCCGCAAGCAGCCCTACTTTTATCATTAATTTTTTGAAACCTTAACCCACTACTAAAAAAAACACTTTTTGCGACCGCTATAAACCGTCGCAAATAATAAAAAACAGTCGCAAAAGACTTTTTGCGACGGCCCATGCGACGGCAAATGGGGGTCGCGAATATGGGGGTGGCAAATACTTTTTGCGACGGCAAAGCAACGGTCGCAAATTATTTGCGACCACCTAAACTACTTATGGCGACCGCTATTTTGCCGTCGCAAAAAACAAAGAAAAACACTAACATGATCTTTGACGACCATCTTGTTACCGTCGCAAAAAATTAAAAATAAAAATAAATAAATAAAAGTGTAGCGTTAAGCACTCTAGGAATAACAATGACAAGAATTCAGACAGTATAACATTATAGTTTTATTGAACATCTATTTGAGTCTCAAAATTTGAGCCATATGTAAAAGTTATTACAATTAAAAACTTAAAAAAAGTTCTTTTATGAAAAAAATACAATTCAGAACTGGCCAATCTTCTAATCAATTTTTTTGCTCGGGTGTTTCTCCACTCTATCAATGAACTGGCATAACACCTTGTACTCCCCGGTGCAAGAAATGAAAGCAATATGACGAGGGGAAAAGCTCCTTCATTTACATGCATTTGTTCTCCATTCCATAGTAAAAAAGAAATACTTAAATCTTGATATGTTTCTCATACTAGAAAAGGCATCCAAGAGTTTTTCAATCTTGAGCCGATTGATAGAAAGGGACCACCGACATATTATCAGTAGAAGACATAAGAAACTAATTGATGCACCTTCACTTTCTCATCTCGAATATGCTCAGGTGTAAGAGAAATAGACTTCTCCATAGCAATTAGGCAAAGAATCTGCACTTGGCAAGAATATATGTCTGTTACATCTTAAAGAAAAATGATAAACAAATTGGAGGGACTGTTGTGAATAAATTTATATATCTATCATTTTAATATTATCTACTCTAACTTGATTTCATGGCCTCACTTGCAATAGATGATTTTGAATAATATCACGAATGATTCTGCAAAAAGAAATGATAAACAGATTTAATAACAGATTTTTGCAGATATACATTTCATTGTGTAGGTTTGGCTACCCGTTCTTTTGCTCATATGCTTTCGATGTGGGATAATGAAGTCAAGGATTCCCCCCACCAAATCCACCTAACCAAGAGTTCCTAAGTTCGACAACCATTTCAACTTTATTTGGAATCTGATGTTTTTTTTCTAGGAGCTAAGAGCAAGAGAAGCTGCTAAAAACATGGATGTTACTTCAGCTCAGTTAAAGCAACAATATTTTTGGTACAAAATTCAGAAGTTCATATTCCTTTTGCTCAACTTTTGCTTCAGCTCAGTTAAAGCAACCATATTTTTGGTACAAAATTCAGAAGTTCACATTCCTTTTACTCAACACTGGATATGAGGCATAATAATGTATTGGCCACACATGCAGCAATATTCAATAGAGTGAGAATGTTAATATTATGAGAACAAAGGCAAAATACTCAAAATGCAGGTGCAAAATTATAATAGTCTTTTGGCATTCCTTAATCTCAGAGATAAAATTGAAGCTATTCAGGAAAACTCATCATTGGAGATGCTAAATATGTAGAGGCACTAACTGAAGTAACAAAAACACAGAAATGAACTTATACTAATTCCAAAATTTTCCTGCTAAGATAGAAAGAAGCTAATGTAGTAGAAGATCCTACAAATCTACAGAATTATGTGATTAGTACCCTTTCCATTTGCATTTGGTTTGACATCTTTTTACCTACCAAACTTCCAAAACAAAGGTTTTAGCCATGACACTGTATACTCCACTCGTCAGTTTTTTCTGTCAGTTTTTTCTATCTTTTATCGTACTGCTCTTCTACCACCAAACTAAATTATGTCATAAGCATGCTTATCATACATTTTGAAATGACTTCCATCTTTGTCTAAAAGAAAACAAAGAACATTTAGCTTTTATTTATTTATTTATTTTATCAAAAAGGAGGACATTTAGCTCTTCTATGGTTGAATTTTCACAAATCACCATGAACATACCCAAGACTACATTTCGTCCACAAATGACTGAGCTTACACCTTTTCCTTTACACTTTGTTTCATGTGTTATTTTCCTATCTTACAATTAATATTTAACTAAAAAGATAGTTGTGAATCCAAAGATCCATGGTGTCAACTACTAAAATTAGCAACTAAACAATGGAGAATCATGATAAATTTTACTTCCACCTCAGATAATGGTAACCGTAAGGTACTCACATAGATGTCTTCTTGAAGATGTATGGCGTTTTCTCGTATTCAATCTCAATATAAGAAGTGATACAATTGCAGATAATGTAACTGCACCTGCAATCGTCCCAAGTGCAATGCCAATCAGTGCTACCTTGCTAATACCAGATTTTGAAGAGGAGAGGTCCGCTGCAACAGAAACTAAAATTATGAGAAAAACCCCCTAAAAGTTATGCAACATCCATCCATTCCTATTTGTATATGAAATGAAAGTAGGCAAACTTGACTGTGTATTTGTTGATTAGACTGGCATTGATGTATTTGTAGCTGCTTTTTAGGTCAATGTTATCCCGCTGATTGATCATCCAATATTGTGATCCAAGCATCATAAACAATAGTTTCAGCGGGGTGCATTGATTATTCCTAACTACTAGTCATTGCAATTGGAGCAGTGAGGAGTGGAGATCTAGACAAGAGAAGGCCAACAACAGTGTTAGAGCCACTTGAAAGCAGAATTCGAACCTAGGAGCTTGAAGGTGAAAAAGTAAAGTCTAACACATTCAGGGTTAGGTCGTAAGTCATTTGGAGTCATTTTATTAAACTTTTGATCTCATGGATTTTGACAAGCAGGGTGGTCTTTACTTTATTAGTACCATATTTGCGTAGATGATTTTAGCATGATTGAGATATTGGAATTGGTATATTGAATTAATCTAAATAATAAACTTGGTAATTTTTTATTTGGTAATTAGTTACAACAATTTGGCCCATTCATCTCCTCTTTACGCACAAACATGTCCACTTCTGCAATTTCATAACCTATTCTTACCACCACGCCAGGGCAAAACAACACTAATATATACATCTAGGTTGCCCATATATTCAGATAGAGGCATAAAAGCAGAAAAAACAATTAGACAACCTTCTCCCAGAAACAGAAACACAAAGACCATAACTAATTATATCTATATCGAGAAAGTCCAAAGCAATAACTGCCAGATAAGGTTTATGAGACAAACCATCTTCATAAGGGTCCAACAGAATGAAGTTGAGAACCTCATAAGGTCCAAAAATTTTAAGATCACAAATCTCCCATCTTGTGAACAAGCCTCGAATACGTAGAACCTCACTACTATTGAATAAATGATGGGTGTTGTCAATGTATACAGGAAAAATCTTCAAGTACATTCTTTTAAAAAAAATCACATATTCTAAAATGACTTTATTATTTAGATTCATCCACATAGGTAAAAAACTCTAGTAAAAAATGACATCACAATACTACATTCTTTTAAAAAAAATCACATATTCTAAAATGACTTTATTATTTAGATTCATCGCAAGAGATCCGTGACAGAGCATTATAATCAGTAGCTTGTTTTAATGCATAACAAGAGCATGTTGATCTATCATGTTGCTAACTAGTTTGGTACCTTGAAAAACTATACACACAAAAAGAACATAATGGCTATGCATCAGTTGAGAGCTAGACAGGAGATAGGTCACAAATTCAATTTTGTTATTTGATTCATTAGCATCAGCATGCTCTGGCTTCAGTAATAAACCAGCCCATTGCTTAAGCTAGTTTGGTGTGATCAGCAAGACTTTAATTAGCAGTATTGGGAGGTGAATTGGTATAGGTGGCAGTGTAGTGATATGGGAAGTATGAAAAATCAATTGACAGAGTCTTGAATTTTTTTAAATATCAGTTGTAAAAAAATAGATTTGAGGCAATGATCTGATTCTAAATGTTAGAAAACCATAAATGCAAATTAGAATTCCAGAATTTGATCCACAAACAATGAATACAAGCAGACAATGAAATTCAAATCTAGGTTGCAACACTAGAGAAAACAGAGTTGATAAAGAGAATGAGAATACAGAGTTGATAAAGAAAACAGAATTGGAAAATAAACTAAATCAAGCACCTGATAATTAATTAAGTAACCAGCAAAGTTTAGGAGGATGATGTCAAAAGAATTCTACAGAACATCAACAGATTCAAGGTTG